TTATTCCTCCCCAGGTGCAGGACCTTGCACTTGGCCTTGTTGAATTTCATGAGATATTATGCAGGAGTTAATATTAGATACGGTATATTTCGTTGCAATTGCAAAGATTCACTAGAGTTTGCAAATGTTCTCACTTTGGCATAAAAAGCCCCTGAATTTATTTTTTTCAGGAGTCTTCTTGTGTTTAGAGCTTACAAGCAAAATAGTGTAAGTAAGTGAGGACTCTCAGATAAAGCTGGTGAGAGCCAGATTCAAAACATTCAACTGCTTATAACAGCTTATAGACTGATGGAACAATTGTTGCCATAGGATATTGTGGATGCAAAATGTTTAGGCTCAATGGGAGAAGTACATAGCAAAAAACCACCACCACCACCCGTAACAAAACTCAACATATTACATCTTATTTATGTGTGTATACATATATATATGCACATATATGTATATGAGACTTCAGAGTCATTAGAGGCTGAAGAAATACAGAAGCTGGAGAAAGTAAGTTAAGAAAGCTTGTCCTTCCGTAGTTATCTGCTTATGGCTAGTGTTAAGGACAGGCCATCGGTGATGAGACAACCATGGTCTGAACAGATGTTTTTATATGGTTCTAAAGGACATAAATGTTTTAAAGTAACATTCGTGAAAATGTGTGCATACAAAAAAAACAGGCTTTAAGTTAACATGTAGAGAACAAGAGTCCTTAACCAGCCAGGAAAGGGAGGACACTACGATGCCATAGCAATTAGCTATGTAGCTGAGCAATCAGCAATTGAAAGGGTTACAGTTAATGCAGTAGCTTGTTGGAGAGAAAGTGGGTAACCAGAAATTTCAAAAATAGTTAAGAGTACCTGGCTTTTCAAAATGTTACTTGTCAGGAAAAAGAAATTGTTTATCACCTACTTTTTAATTAGTAGGGGCTTCTAGATAAAGAAGATTGGGCGTCTTGAATCCTATGTTGTCAGCTCTGTTAAGTTGCGTCTGGTTATGTCAGTCTGCTTTTAATTTGGGGAAGAACAATGTAGTATCCCTTTCATCTTCATTTAGCTCTTTTGTTTTGTCTTCCTTTGTTGCTGTATGATCATATTTTATACATATAGCTATACAGTTCTTTTTACTGTGTTGTGGCAAAGCAGCAACTGAAGAAGTAGATGACCATCTACTTCAGTCACCCCAGATCAGAAGCTCTCATGGTGACAGGCAGCTGTCAGCTTTAACCAGAGCTGATGCCATTCCACAGTGAAGAAACGTCCTGTTCGCCATGGCACTTGGCCAGTGAAAAATAAGAAGTTTCCTGCTGTTGCTGTTGTGACGTGGGAAACCAGCAATCCTTCAGTGTGTGCATGTTCCTCAGTTTTGAAATTCCCTTCAATCCAAAATAGAAGGACCTTCTGAGTGCACAGCAAAACCCTTCTGCTTTGGGGACTCAGAAGCAACCTTCTGAGGAGGAGATCGAGGAGGAGGATTGAGGAGAGTGGTCCAGGAAGGTGGAGCTGTGCTTCTTTCACGTGCACTCTAGTACCAGCACAGTACGAGATCTGGAGAGATTCCTGTGTGTTTCAGAAACACGTGTAAATGCATTAAGTTTTCTGAGCAGTTGTTGGTATGTGGGAGGCAAGGCGTATTAGTTCACATAATACTTACATCTCATCACTGGGCCCTTCACTAGTAATAACCAGTAAATCCCTTCAACTTAAAATAGAAGCGTAAAATAGTGCTGTCTTAACTGTTTAAGAGAAAATCAGGGGGAAAACAAAACTATTATGTTGACAAATATGATCCAAGATTTACATTTTGGAATTATTTTTGTATTGTGTTATTATCTGATAGCCTGAGGTGCTCTCCTATGTTTTCTTTTTAATTTTATCCATAATCTAGAGTTAATGCTGCTTTTCTTCTGATAATCAAATATACATTGCAGAATTAATGAGTAGGACGTTTTCTCCCCCTAAACCGCAGGACCTTTGTGCTTGCTCTACTAGCATGTTGTTTTTCCTTTCTCCAGTCCCACTCTTGCCATGGCCCACAGGAATCTGACCGGGAGCTGTAATGTTAACTGTGGATGTAAGATTCATGAGTACGAGCCTGTCTGTGGATCAGATGGAATAACATATTTTAATCCTTGCCTAGCTGGCTGCATCAATGGTGGAAACCTTAGCACAGGGGTAAGTTCTTCCCACAGCCACCACATTCACTCCACGAGTAGCAAGTAGCCCATGAGGTCCAAGGCAGAGCCAAGAACCTGGGTTCTGTAGCAAACCCTCTGAAGCTTTGGAGAAGTTGTTCTGAAGGTGACTCAGGCCTGAGTTTTTCCAAAATACTTTTTTTTTTCTTGGCAAATGTATTTCCTGGTACGACCATACAACAAACTCTTCCAGTCACAGGATACTGGGGAAGGACATTCTGCTGTTAAAGCCACACCATGGAAATTTGGCAATTTCCGGAGCTGGGCATAGGAAAACAGTGGAAAAGGTGGAATCTGGCCTTCCTGTTGTTATGGTTATACTCACTTAGTACAAAAGACAAACTCTTAAATTTTTGTGTTACAGAATTCTCTTCTAAAAAAGAATAAGCAAGAGAGACAGGAAACAATATAAACATTGATCTTCTCAGGACTTGATTGTGCTTTCCAGAAAGCTTATTTATAGTGTATCCATCTTCTAATTTGCAGTGCTGAGCCAAGCAGTGAAACACGAGAATGTTAGTTCAGAGCTGTACTTTCTTGTTTTTGACAAGATAATGTTCTAAAAATGAGGGTTCAAATGTGATTCCATTTAGAGCAAATCAGTTGCTTTTATAGTTTTCCTTTTTAGAGTTCCTTGCTAGATTTTGGTAGAAAATTGCTTTGGCCCAGTTGCAAAAAGCCTGTGAGTATCTGGGTAACCTTCCGTATCTATGTGCCTTGTACTTGCACTTTGTTGGACTGAGGCCATAGGTTTGATCTTCGCTGTATTTCAGCAGATATCAAACTAGTACTAGTAATTTTTTTAATAGTGAAGTACTTTGGGTATATTTACTTTTCACTACATATTTTGAAACATAATATTTCCTATTATGATTTGGCCTGAAGTTTTAACTCAGCAGCTAATGGTGAATAAAATAGGGCTGACATTGGTTTGACAATGCATTTCTTCATTAAATAATTTTTTATGGGGAGTACTTTTGGAAACTACAGATGTAAGCTTGTATTGCTTTATAACACACCAAATGAATATTGCTAGCCTACAGAAATTGGATTTTAGTTTATAGGATAGAAGATACAGTTACATGTTCCTACCTGTTCTGTATATACATGTCTCCACTCTAGCATTTCTGCTGCGTAACCCCTCTGTCAACCAAGCACAGCCTTGGTTTCTCTGGTGAAGAATCCAGACTATGTAGGAAGGAAGATTATTTTCTATTTGGAAGCAGTAAGGACAATAAGGTGAGGGACTGTAGGAGGAAAGCAGATACCCAGCTGATATTTGGCAGTGCTGCCTTGGGAAACTGGGCTTAGTCACTGCCTCGGTTCCTAAATGGTGTTACGCAAGTCAGTCAGACCAAACATCTCCCAGCTGGTTCTTCGTGTTCTGGGTGATTGATGTGAGCAATAACCAGAAGTGTCATTTGTAGAAGGACTGAGTACCAAAATCTGTATCTGAAGGCAGGAAAATTGTATTTAGGCTATATTAGGTTGTATATAATGACAAATAAACTGGAAAAAGGGGTCCTAGTTTTCTCAAATTTGCCACCCATATTTGTGAACGTTTTGCCCTGTGTTTCAGTTACTTAGATATAAAATAGAGATAACAACATCACTGCCTCATCTCATACCTGTTCTGAGGATAAATTAATCTTTTTGAAATAGATAAAGAATAAGTGCCATAAGTGCCATAGAAAAACGCATATGAAATACAAGTCAATGTGTTTGTATAGTAGAATAAGGATAGTGAGAGGAAAAAAAAATACCTGAGGCCATGTTTTGAAAATGAAAGGTAAAATGCTAGAGAAATGGATAGTTCATTAAAATGTTCAGCAAAATCCTATGAGAAAAATAAGACTATGCAAAAGCACAAGCGCATACAAAGGTATAAATTAACATTGACAAGCAACCTTAATTCGGTTATTAATTCAGATATTTCCTACTGTCTGTTTTAATTTACAACCTTAAGATGTAGCTTAAGTTGTGTAGCTTTGTGCATGTGTGGTTCTTAGATCTATGAAAGCAAACTTCAAATCTGTGCTCGTCGGTACTTGGGATGGAAATGCTGGAGGCAGAAGACTCCTGACTGAGAAGTAGCGTTTGACTCCCAGGGAGGAAGCCCAGTCAGACTGTCATACAGTGTCTTTGCACAATGTCTTTCTCACAGCAGGTTTTTTTTCCATACAGAAGTACTCAATGTGTTTCTCTTCTTCACTCTCCCTAGATAAGAAATTACACAGAATGTGCCTGTGTCCAAAGTCGCCAAGTCATTACGCCACCGACAGTGGGCCAGCGCAGCCAGCTTCGAGTGGTCATAGTCAAAACCTACCTGAACGAAAACGGCTATGCTGTTTCTGGGAAGTGTGACCGAACCTGCAATACCCTTATCCCATTCCTAATATTTCTTTTTATAGTTACCCTTATAACAGCATGTGCCCAGCCATCAGCAATCATAGTGACACTCAGGTAAGAGTTCCGTTCTATGTTTATTTAGATATTTATGCACTACTTACCATCACTGTAGAGTCTGTGCCACAGAGCCTGGACTAATGCTGCTTAATTCCATCAGGCTTAAGGTGATTAGAACCGTCTGACCTTTGTAAGGAATATGTAACACGATAATGCACTTTAGGAAACAAGTAGTGCTCAGTAATTTCCACATAATGTAGAGAGGTAGAGATGTAAAAACATGATGTAAAAAAATGATTACTGCTGAAGAAATGTTTAACCTCCGCAGGGCAATGGTTTGAATTTTCAAACCCAAATGAGAAAAGGTTGATATTCACTCATTCATAGTTCATATTTACTTAGCAGGATTTACAAAGCATGTCCATAGGTAACCGTTCCATTGGTTATAGGAAGATAAAGGGAATGCTTCAAAGTGTTGATTCAATTTCAATGAAAGAGCTGTACCATGCGTGCGTTACTGACACTTTGGCATGCGTCGTCTGCTTGTGTTGGAGCTAGGCAGCATGGTCCTGCCTGAAATCTTTCATCCTTCGCCATCTGCAAGTCTCTCAGCCCCTTGTCAGGCCTCATCCCCTTGTAGCACTCATCTCCAGTGAACACGGGCCCTCTCTTGCTGTCATTTCCTCTGCTCAAGTGGCTGAGGTTTGTGCAGGAGATCTAACTGTTGCAAGCCTGTTGATGACTCAGGGCTGTGTTATGGCCCGTGATGGAATTTGTTTTCCCAAAACCCACAAAATAAAACAGGTGGAAACTGCAAAAACGTTGCAGTCAAGACTGTGCAACCACATACTCAAAAGCAGGAAATGGGACTTTATCATTAGACTTCATTAGACATATGAGATTTCATCCAAGTACAGTGTGCCCGGCACTGTGATCATTTGAATACCTCTGGCTCCTTCTGCTCCTGAGTTTTCTACCTGTAAAATGAGGATAATAATAAAATGTCAGTGCACAGGATAATTGTCAAAAGGTAAATTTCAAGTGGTAGATATCAATACTGAAGTGAACCTTAAATCCTTAAGGAAAATCTTCAGAGGAGGATTTTACCATATTCAATGAAAAAAAAAAGGGGAGGGGGATACCATATCAAATGCGGTGCATCCATCCAGAATGGTGAGTGCTTGATTCCGCAATCTTGACCTTTCAGTCATAGAATATGATCTGTTTGTGTGTTCCTTATTTCAAAATCCAATGTTACTACCAGTTGCCTGCTTATAATAATAAGCATCCATGCTGTCCCCTGGAACCCTGGTGCTTTTCAGCCAAGGTGATGGAGGTGGCTTCCATTAGCTTTCAAGGGGAAAGCTGTCCATTTCTCAAAGGACTGTGTACAAACTAGTAATGTTCCACAATGGAATTGCAAACAGTTGTAGTAAATCACAAATATATTTCCTAATATAATTTTGAAGTGCTTGTACTAAGCAGGTAGCCATGTAATACAGAGGTAGATTCTAGCCTTCCGCAACTTAATTCTCCATTTAGAGTAGAATCACTGATCTGAAAAAGGTTAAGAAAGTAAAGCAAAAGATTATATCATAATAAAGGGAATTATTATGAGAAAACGTGTATATTTTGGGTCTCTGATTTCCCTAATAGTTTTGGATCAAATTCTTCAGGCCTTACATAGGGAAAAACGATTCAGAGACAGGACTGAGATGTTGATTAAACAGGGACAGGAGGCTTCATCCATTTTTTCCTAGCAATAACACTTAACAATATTAGAAGTTAAACAGGAGAAATTGAGGCCGAGATCTATTACATGTCAGGGAAAAAAAATGAACAGGAAGTGAGGGTAAAACTTACCCCAATGATTAGATTATCTGCTATGGCTGTTTCTTTTGGTTTTGCTTGCCAGGTCTGTGGAAGATGGGGAGCGGCCCTTTGCACTAGGAATGCAGTTTGTTTTGCTACGAACTCTTGGTAAGTCCTGTGGTTACTGAGCGTTCATATAAAGCATCCCCCAAAGTTTCGCCATGTTTCTGGAAGATTCACCTTATTTTGCTTATGTGTGCTGTAAAACTATTGAAAGTCTGTAAATCTGCCACTAGTTGTCATTAGGAACATAAAATGAGTAGCTTCTGAACTTTGTAACTCTGATTGTTTAGTCGGAATTTTTATTACTGACTTTTTGAGACAATTCTTTTTTTGTCTCAGGGATATTTTTACAGTTTGGAAATTTTATTTTAAAATCCTTTAAAAAAGAGCTATGTTGGAATAGTCATTTTCCCGAAAAAAGATTCAGTTTTTGACAAATTAATATTAAAAAACAAAAGGTTCCTGATCCATCTCGATAAGAACAGTAATGTTCTTTCAAATAATTCTTTTAAACCTTGTCTGTAGCAGGAGAAAATATATCTTCAGTTTTACTTTTCTCCTGAACATAGCATAGCATTCAAGAATAAGAATAGGGGTTACTTGGAAAAGCTGATGCAGTACCAGTATCTTATGTATCCATACATATGTGCATGCTAATATGTAGATAATGTGTACATTGTATGTGTACACTTATAATGTACATACTAATATATATGTATATACTAATTATCACTTATAAGACTTAAAAAAAAAGAAGAAGCAGATGTATATTTTTGCTTTCAGCAGTAACAATAGCTGTTGAGTTTTCTAAAATAAGAAGCAATTATACTGTAAGGTCTAATTTCAAATATTTCAAAGCAAAAAGATTGCTTGTTAAAAATCATTTTTACGCAAAGTGATTTCTTTCAAGTTTTTGAACTTACAAAATCCTGTCTATAAAGAGCACTCCAGGTGTTCAGCTACAACAAAAAATGTGAATATTGCATGCAATTATTATTATTATAAAAAGAATGAGAGGAAAAACCCACATAGCTGCACCTGGTCCATTAAGGAGGAAGTTTCCTTTGAGAAAGGCCTCATTTGACTTGTCCTATGTATGTTGTATTTCCAAGGAAAGCAGGAGCATTTAATAGGCTGGCAACATTTGTGTCAGCCTCAAAAGATGAAAAAGATTTATTTGAAAGAACGATCTAAAAATGATAGCTCCATCCGTCTTCCATCCATCCCCAGTAAGAGAATTGCATTTTGTGTTTATCCGGGGGTTAATTTTTCCCTTAATCTGTAGTAGCAACCCCCAGTGTTTCCCAGCTCACAGGTAAGGACTTTAAATAGGTAACACTCTGCCTCATTTTATTTCCTGAGAGCAACGTGTGTTTCATGCAGAAGTGGCTGGAGGCAGAGGCACTAACTCTTGCAAGGTGGCATCACATCGTGTTCATTGTTCGAGTTCTTTCACATTATTGGTGCATTTTGTGTGGGGGATAAATAACATTGTTGGGAAGGTCATGGACCCATCTTCCACTTTTCACATTGCGTGGGAGAACAGCAGAGTAGAAATCCTCTCAAACCTCCTTGACCTACACCTACTTGACTGAGGCATGTAGTTTCTTCAGATGTCCTCCACTGTATGCTAACACATATTATTTCTGCTGCTATTTTTATTTCAGCTTACATTCCCACTCCAATTTATTTTGGGGCTGTTATTGATACCACATGCATGCTCTGGCAACAGGACTGTGGCGTACAGGGATCTTGTTGGGAATACGATGTCACCTCGTTTCGTTTCGTCTACTTTGGCTTGGCAGCTGGTCTCAAGTTTGTAGGATTCTTTTTTATTTTCTTGGCCTGGTACTCCATTAAGTACAAAGAAGAGCAGCTGCAGAGACAGCGGTGGAGGGCTTCGCCGGTGAACACTGTGAGTGAGATGGTCGGCCAGGCGGGACCTCAGCAAAACTATGCACGGACTAGATCCTGCCCCACGTTCAGCTGTCGAGGAGAGCAGTGTGGAGACTTCAGAATGGCACAAGGGATGAATTGCATAGCACAGACATACCCCGGCCCTTTCTCAGAAGCAATAAATTCCTCAAACGAAAATACGTTGGAAGAAGTCACTGCTGAGATATAGACCCCTGGCTTGGAAATGTAATCTTTAGTTTTGTTGGTTGACTTAAATACGGCGCCTTGTGAAACACCTGTGCCTTCTATTTTTAATCTAAATGTAACACATGATAAAACCAACAAAGCTTAATGCAAACAACCATACTATGTTTCTGAGGGCTGGATACCTCAAACCGACCCAAGTTCTTGTTTCTCTTTGTAATTACTTCAGGTGTGTCCGTTAAAATGTCCGTGCTCTGATCTAATATCAATGTAAGGGTAAGGTGTTGTGAACAGCAAAAGTTGGTGGAAGAGTGAAAAACCTCATATCATTGATGTCTAGACTTCACAAAAATTCTTCAGTGTGTCATAACTTCATGTCCACATATTTTTAAGAGATGACAAATTACTGTGAGTTCTGCTACAAAGCACAACCGAACTTGTTTAAACTATGCAACTTAGGTAATTGTATGTGCAGCAAGTTAAGTTTAAAGTTGGCTTTTAAAAAACATTACTGCAACTTAATTTGAAAGGGGCTATTTTCAGACATGCACATTAGATCAAAAAGAACATAGCATTTAAAGTACTGTTAATAACAGGTTAAGCCATATGAAAATTACGCATCAGATAATGGTTGAGATATAATATCTTTATCCTGTTAAAACGTGCATTAATTTTCATTTGATAAGTTGCAGTAATTCTTAGCAAAGTACACAGGCTTGGGAAGTGTAATGCTTGGAGCAAAAAAATGCTGTATTAATTTGTAAGAACATTCAGATGTAGGAATACACACATACCATAACAGATAGGTGCATATTTCTGTAATGATATAAGCAGATATTTGGGTGGCTGTTGCTAATACCAAATCCATACTTTTCCTGAAGAAGAAAAAAAAATCCATTATAGCTTGATAGGAAGTGCTTGGCTGTACTTCAGAAATGCATGCTGGTCTAGTTCAGCTTAGGTGAAAAATGTCAAGAGGGCAATAGTGGCTTCGTTAGGAGGCCCACGGGCTGCTCGGGGCTTTGCAGCCTCTGCTGGCAGCAGGAGATGCAGCGAGGGAGGAGGCCCGACCTGCTGGCAGGCCTGAGCTGAGGGGCGGTTCAAGGGTGCTGGAGGCAGGTTTGCACAGACCAGAGCTCCCCCTCGTTTCCTGGCCCTGCCTTTTTTCAGCTTCTTTTAAAGCTTTCCTTGAAGACAAAGTCCGAGGCTGCTGTCCACCTTTCCAGGAGAAGAGCTAGGAATGGGGGTTGTCTCCAAGCATGCGCCCAGGAGACCTGATGTGGCCTTTGCGTATTCCAGCTTATTATCCTGTGATTTCTCCCCTGGAGACACTGAGACTTTTTAATGAAATGATACTTAGCATTTCCTACTTTATTCTGGAGGCAATGCCGTACCCTTCTTATGATGTACTAATGATGTCTCAAAGGGCAGAGAGAGATTTCAGGTGGACGCTCGGAAGTCAAAGCTGTATCTTGCCCTGCAGGGAATGTCTTAGGAATTTCAGAAATTAAATGAATTATTTTAACAGAATGATGGGGAAGCTTGAATTTTGCCATGTAGAGAGCTTGTACAAAAATAAGTAGGAGAGCAGAACTTCCATGTGATTTCGAACAGATTAAAAATATTTGGGATGCTTTAGCAATCTAAGAATGATTTTGCATTGTTTTGTTTAACTTACAGTATGTAAGTTGATCAAACAATATATGGAACCAAATCCTGATTCTGTGGAAGTCAGTGGCGGAACTCTTTGACATGCATTGATTTGACCTGGGAAGAACCGACTTCCTTCTCCCCCTCCTTTGCCAGCTGCCTTCCTTCCTCCGCTGGCAGCCCCGTTTGGGTTTGCCTGGCACATGGAGTCACCCATCACACTGCTCCCAGAACCTGCTTCAGATGGTCCCTGTTCATCACCGGGTGGCTCCAGCGCAGCTCCTGCTCCCAGGCGCTGCCAATTCACAAATATTTCTAGCTTTTCCCTCTACTGTAACATGGAAGAATATTATTGACATTAATGAGAGGCGTAGTGCTTTAAACCACCTCCTCCTAGTCTATAGCTACTACTAGCTTTTTGGACTCAAGCCTGAGTATTTTTTTATTCTCTTGTGCTGCTGCTAGGCTCAATACGTCCTCAGTCGGTATGTGCAATCGAGGACATAGCTTCTGTGCTCCTTCTCCCCAGGAATAAATACCCTTGGTTCAAAAGTACTGGGTATTTTTTTTCCCACTATAGCAGATCAGAGCAGGTGATAAAAATGACTCCTGCTAGAGCCTGGTGTTCTGCATGCACTGAGAAATCCCTGCCTTAACAAAACTGGACGCAAAGTGCTCGGAGAGAGTGTAAGAAAACAACCCATTTTAATCAACAGAGCATACTGCAAAGAGAGACAATCTTTTTCAATACCTCAAAAGATAGAGCATTTAGAGAATTGTAAAAGGCTGGAGTTGGTTTCTCTTCCATTTCATGCCTTCTGTGGACTTTGCTCCATCAGAATTGAAAGTGGAGCACATGAAGCTTGTTGGATCTTCAGGAACTAACAGTGGTCACAGAGGAATAGAGTAGTAAGTGGCAGCTCTACAACTGCTGCAGTTTGGAGCTAGTTTCAAGGCAAGTCAGAGCTGGTCAGAGAATTTCTGTTTTTCTGGAAATCCTGACCCTACAAATTCTAAACAACATTCTTTCTTAGAATGACTGAGAAACTGGAATGTAGAGGTAAAGATGTTCACTCTGGGAACACTGGGAAAGTCTTGCTTGCATGCTGTCTATAGCCTTCTAACTTTGACTTCAAAATTCTTTCCTAAACATAAAATGAAATATAAAAAATCTCCCATATTTTTGTTATAGATAATTATGACAGTATAAGTATATTGCTACAAATCATTTAATTATGACAGCATCTTCTGAAGGAAAGAAAACTCCAACTCTGACTAATTTTTGACTGCTTCCTAAAGGAGGCTTTCTTATGAATAAGGTACCACAGTCTAATTTGATATAATAAAAGCAGCCAGGGGAAAACATATGAACTTTGTAGAGTATTTCCAGCACTGTCAACATGGTCTGAAATACTGAACTGAGATCTGCTATGAAGACCTACCTGTTTTTGAGGTTGTAATTAGCAGGGCAAGCAGAAACGGCAGAAGCTGTGTGCATCCCTAGGGAGCTTGGTAGACGGCCTCACAAGAAAAAACGTATCTCTATCTGTCATCCAGTGAAGGCAATCATGCTGTCATGAAGCAGTCTGACCATAGGCTGTAAAAACCAAGACCCTAAAGCCACTCTGTTTTCAGTCTAATCTCGTAATTTCTGCCACCTTCCCTCCCCACCCCCAAGCACTAAAGCTAGGTTATCAACAAGCACAAGGAAGGTAAAGCAGGGCTCCTGTTCTCCCACAGGCTCTTACTAGTAGCAAAAGCAAGTTTTCTACCTCCAGTTAACCAGCCAGGGATAATGTGGAGCAACAACATCCGGAGATTACTTGCACGTCCACAAAGTGCCATCATGTCATCACAAGGACAGCCGGTTTTCCTCCTTCACGTGATTCATTGTGGAGGACATGAGAAGTGGCCCCAGTGCATGGACCTGGCTGAACAGACGTTCATCCCTGTTTACTCTCCTGTGCATTCCTTATTTCCTCAAAAAAGGGAAAATACCAAAGAGGGACCCATGGTTTAGGGTGCTCATGAGTGCAGCACTATCAGGAAAGAGGTGTGTAGAGCTCTCTGGGGTTGTGGTCTTGGCAAGAATATCTGAAGAATGGGACATTGTGTTAGTAAAGTCTAGGCAAAGTCCTGCATTTTGGTCCTCTTTTCCCCAGCACAAACTAGATATAATATGGTTTGGAATTGTTGGCATTTTATGTTCTTTCGGTACAGCTTGGGCAGCTACAACATAGCTGTCTGTATGTGTAGAGTATTACGGTGCAATTTATATTTAACTGGAAGCTTTAAATTCTTTGATTGACTGCTGAATGCTTAAAAATGTAGGTACTGACATGCAAAGGCTTCAGAGCTTGCTATGTTCAAAGTGAAGCAGGGGCACAAATCTCCTCATACATTTCATAGCATTAAGTCCATCATGACCATGATCCTGCAGAGCACTTAAATGTGTGTGTGAGATTATACACTTGAGTGATGCACTTAAAAATAATGCATGCCATTAAAGGCCACTTCGGCCCACACTCTGCTGCTTGTGGAGAATGCAGGACAACATATTTAGTCTGAATATCTGACTTTTGGAGGACTAGTGCTAAATGAGGTGGGTTCTTCTCAGCAAATCCAGCTAGGGTAGGTTCAGGGCCGTGTGAACTGCAGTAAAATGTCATCTCATCCAGCTGGAGCTGGCTGGTGTCCGATCATCTCAAATAGCTATCACTTCTGCACTGAGATGTTTTCTGGTCTTTCTGCCCAAAGACACATTCTAGCTCTTACAGACATACATCTCTTAAAAACTTCTGGCCGAAAAACGAGGAGTTATATGGGAGGGTGGTTTAGGTAAGGACATTCTTCTGACCTTAAAGCCTATAAAATTGCTGAAGTATTGCTATAGATTGAAATTGTGCCCTTTCACAGCATTGGGACCTAGATGTTCAGAGGGCAGATTTTCAGTGTCCCCCACACATGTGGACAGCACAAACAGTGCTCTCTGCTCCGTGTCACTGCAGGGCTCCTGGCTGGGCAGAGGTTCAGCACCTTCTGTACTGATCTTGCATGTTTTTCCCCCAAATGCCTGACTTTCTGCTGCCTTACTACATTTTCTGTGTGATACCACAGACTTTGCTGGTGGTTTACTGACATAAAACTGGTGACAAATAGGTCCAAAGTGTCTTACTGCTATTTTGGTGCCAGATTATCATCATCAGTGTAATGACAAGACTGAAGATCTGGCCCAATAGAGCAGATTGGACCCTGACAAGCTGGCGCTTCAGCAGATGTGCAGGAAGTGATACCAAGTGCTTGTTCAGCCTCTGTACTCTGTCCACTGGTTAGTACTGCTGTTTTCATGGACAGATGAAAAACTCCTCCCTTAACAAGTTTATCCTTGTC